CCTCGCTGCACCCTGCAGTCACTCACTGCTCCGTCCCAGTTCCCACTGCTGGGTCCTAGCAGGGTTGCTGCCACGCTAGGAGAGTTTCTTGCCAAAACCCATGGGTTTTCCTCTCCGCGCAGAGCCAACGGGGACTCTTTGGCCAATTTTTGCCTCGGGGACCGGTGCGTGCTCCTTCCACGGCGTCGCAGCCCCTTGCCGGGGGGCACAGCCACGACCCAGGAGGAGAGGGTGAGCAGGTGCCCTCGCCCTCGATCTCCAGCACAGCTCTCCCAGGCCACATCCCACGGGCAGATGCTGTGTGCCAGGGCTGGGGCCCTTTTTTTTTTCCCCGAAAGAGGTCCAGCACCTCTTAAAAACCCCAAAACAGGGCTTTGCAAGAATAAAAAGTGTGCGGCTCAGGCGTGGAGCAAAGGTGAAGGGGAGCGGAGCTGCTGGAGAAGCAGAATTTCTTCTTCATCCATCCTTCTACTCCTGACTCTCCACGAGACCCCAGCAGCGCTCGGGGTGCTCACCCACCTCCAGTTTGCTCCTATTTAACTCCAGGAGGGCTCCGAGCAGCGGGAGCTCCCAGGGCCGCCTGGGGTGACATTCCTCTGGGATCCTGACCACCTTCCAGACTTTCAGATCCTCTAAATCCCAGCCCTGCCTTGAAAAGAGGAACTGGAGGCTTTGGGGCGGAGGAGGAGAGAAATGCTGAAGCCAGAGCCTTTGTCAAACAAACCCATAAACTATAGACTACGCGGGCCAAGCGCACACAGCGGGAGCCAAGACCGGGGGAACAACAGCTCCAATTTATTTAGATTATAATGCAGCGAGGGAAGGCTTGTTTACGACAGAAGGAAAATATGCCTAAGTCAGTCAATCACAGGCTCTGGCTGCCTCTAATTGAAAACAGAGCCTTGCGCTCGGTGGAAATCACCAGCGTTGTTCTCCAAATTTGTATTTCCCCACCACGCAGGGCACAGCCTCTCCTTGGGACAGCGTGCACTAACAGCCGAAGAGCACAACAACAGGCACGGAGGATGCTAGGTGACCAGAGAACTCGCTGCCCTCGGCAGAGCTGGTGTCCGGTGGAAATGCAGACTCGCACTCAGTCCTTGTCAGGCTCAGTAAGACTCCTCAGCCCAGAGGAACGACCTGTTCTTCATTTTGAAGAAACATCTCGCTTGCAGGGCTTTACTAACGCCCCGGCAGGTGGACTCCAGAAAGTCCCTGCTTCCCCAGGTGGCAAACTTCCGATGAGAAGGGAAAGAACAACTCCAGATGGGTAAAATCAAACCCAGTTTGGTTCCCGGAGGTTTCACAGGAAAATATTAAATCCCTTTGCCACCAGCCCACAAAGTCGAGGCAGGGCCATTCTAACCTCTGCTCGTCTCCACGCGGACGAACGGCACATCCCCGGATTCCTCACACCTCCTCAGGGAAGCGCCCTCGGTGTCTGCCTGCTGGGAGGGGAGCAGGGTTGGAAAATAACTGGAAAACAATAAATGGTGACGGGGAACTTGATGTGATAAAGCAGCTGCCGACGTGTCTGTTCGGATGGGACAAGGGCGGACAATTGTTTAAAGACACGGATACTGAACATGAAGGCAGCAAAAACACAGCAAAAGAGCCCGATGCGGCTGTTCGCACTCCAGCTGTACAAAATGCCACGGTAGCGTTTACCCAGCCGCGGGCTTTGTGTGCTACAGCTCCCTGGCTCCTCAGTCCTGCGCACAGCTCAGCCTCTGCGCATAAGGCACCGACTTTTCTCTAACGCACATCTGAAATACCGTCAAGGCCACAAATTGGCTTTAGTAAGCTAGAATCACGCCCGTCACAACACTAAAGCAGCGTGTGAGCGTACAGACATGCTCGGGCTCTCGGATCTGTAAGATTCTCCTCCCTGTTGAGCTGAGCGGGGAATAGGAAATTGTCATCTATTTCCAAAGATCCTGATGTGTTTTTTTTTTTATTTCTTCACAAACTTTGATCAAATTGTGGAAGTCCAGCAGCTTTTCAGTCCCACTGCAAGTTTCTTCTGGCCTGACAAGGTGAAGGCGAGTTTGCGTGGTTTGTACACGCCACACACAGAGTCCTACTTCCCACCGCGTCATCAGTGTTCCAGAGATGAGGATAAACCCCTCCTGCGAAATGTGCAGAATCTCCCCACGTCCTCACTGGGGCTCCTTGAATGTCATGATGAGTTCTCGTTGCTCTTTACTAATTGTCTGGAAGGAAAATAACCACCACTGAACTCAGCAAAGTGCTTTTCTCCACAGGTGCCAGGGTTCAGGGGACAAAGGAGGCTGACATAAACCAGAGCGTCACACACGCTGCCATCCCCAGCACGTTTGGAATACAACGCACTAACGGCACACGCTCGCCCACAGAAACATCCCACCGAGTACACAGGGGAAAACATCCGAGACTTCCAGTGAAAACGCCCAGGCCTCCCAGACCAATTTCAGCAGTACTTGGCTCCTGGTGAGGCCTTTGATAAGCAGAAGGCTTAAATACAGTGCAGCCGTTTGCTACTCGAGCCACAGAACAGCGTTTCTTTCAGATTGATGCTGCAAAGAGAAGGGGGTTTTGTTTTTGTTTGTTTGTTTGTTTTTATTTTTACCTGCCAGGCATGTTTGCGAGCTTGTATCAGCTGCTGCAGCTCTGCAATCCTATCCCTCCCCGCAAGCACAGACTCCGCTACCTTCCTGTTCTCTTCCTCCTTCTCCTTTAGGACTTTCTGCAAGTACGACCTGTGCTTAAGGAGGTACGGCACCATGGCGCTGCGAACGTCCTCTTCCGGGATCCCGCTGGGACGCCTGGGAACAAACTGGGATGTGAAGCAACCAGAGAGCAACAATCTTGCACAGCAATTAGTCTCACGCACCTCAACTGGAAGCTGAGCTGCTCCCGTAACGTCTCCAGCAGTTTACCTCTGGCGCTGGATGCCTGAGGACAGCTAGAACGCGGACATCTAACGGGAACCCCATTGCGCAGCCCCCCAAACGCCATACACAAAGGAATGGGAAGAGTCCTTCCCAAAACTCTGCCGCTAGTTGAGGCCTGGAGGCAGGCAGGATGTAATTAACTTCCCCAAACACAGAAACAAGTAATCATGATGATGTTTTTCATTAACAAGGCCCAGTCTGCCTTTCAGGGAAACAAAAGGCAGCACGTACAACCCCCAGTGCCTGCTGAGTCCTTGAGCAAGGCATCCCAACAAGAGGTGTCGATGTGAGCTCTACTATCAGAACAGTAGCTGTGGCTAAAACGAGCCATCAGCATTTCGAATTATTCAGAATTGAGTTCATCTCCCCTCCAGTCTCAGCAGCACTAACGTCCTCCTTGTGCTGAGGAAGCATAGATAGATACAGGACCTAGAGAAGCATAGATAAAACTTATTTTCAGATATTTTAGACACAATGACATTGCTGTTAAGATACGTGAGGTTTAAAAAACTCCCTCGCAGCACAAAGCCTACAGGACACATCAACATGACCCAACCATCATACGGGAACTGACTTTTGCCCTTGAAGGAACATGCCTCCACACACGCATGCTCCCGAGGCTGCCTTCCACAAGGCTATCCATACCATGCAGGCTCTTCCCGGTTCTTTGCCTCCTCCGCGATCTTATCCAGTGAATTAAAGAGCGCCTCCAGATTCCCTTCGTCCTTTACCTCCTGGATCTCCTCCTGTGAAGGAAGTTCAGCAGGACCCAAACTGAACTGACACGGGCACCATTCTGCTTGTGAGCCCTTGCCTTTCCCTGGGAATCCCAGATATTGAGTCACCATCCCTGGAGATATTTAGATGATGCGTAGACATGGTGTTTAGGTACATGGTTTAGTGGTGGAGTTGGCAGTGTTAGGTTTACGGTTGGACTCGATGATCTTAAGGGCTTTTTCCAACCTCAACGATTCTATGGTACTACAGCTCTTTCTGTGGAAGACAAAGAGGTCTGGAAGAAGCTCTGGGGAGCAGTCTTAACCTTCTGGTTTTGCCATTCAAGAAATGCAATTGCTACCCTGAATATCAACCTCTTCAGCGCTTTTACACCGAAGGCTCGAAGCCCCTCCGAAGGCACGCACACCCCCGGGCCCTCGCCCCTAAAGGTCTGCGTCCCCTTTCACCTTGATGGACGTCTGCAGCTGGGATATAAACTGATCGTAAATGCTCCTGGTCATTTCGGGTTGCAGTTTGTAGAAGCAGCGGTAGCAGTTTGCAAACCTCTGGTAG